TGGAACACAGGGCTCAGGAGGCGCAGGTGCCAACCCCAACCTCCCGTCTCCAGGCTCGTCTCCAACGGCACCGGACTTCCCCGCAGGGCTCATCCCACACTGAGCCCCAAGTTCCCCACCCTGCGCAGGCTCCCCCTGCGGCCCCACCCCTGCTAGTGGCATATGTGGGGGTGGTGGGAGAACAGGACTGTCCAAGACCTGAGAGCCAAGGCAGGGATGTTATCTTCAAGGGAGCCACCTGCAAGGCAGGAGCCCAGGAGTAGTGGGGTCCTGGAGTCCAGCGGGCAAGGTGGCAGCTGGAGCCTGGAGGGTCCCCTGGGGAGAAGCACTTTCCTGGGAGGTTGGGAGGAGGGGACTGGAGCCCTCCTGGAGGTGCAGAACTGGTGGCCATTGTGGGACACAGAATCGTGCACTGCAACCCTGTCAGTCCTTTCATCTTCCCAAGGAGTTTTTCCTGAGTCATGTCTTATCATTAATTCATAATAATGATTACAATGATAGGGGGCTGGGCGCCATAGCGCACATCTGCAATCCCAGCCAGTGGCTCAGGAGGCTGAGGCAGAAGGATTACAAGTTTGAGGCCAGCTTCAGCAATGTAGTGAGGCTGTAATCAACCTGATGAGACCCTGTCTCAAAATAAAAAATAAAATGAAATGAAAAGGGCTGGGGATGTGGTAAAACACCCCTGGGTTCAATCCCTTGTGCCAAAAACAAACCAAAAGAGACTAACAGACACAGAGGAGTGAAATAATGTCCTCCAAGTCCCACAATGAACAGTAATCTGAGGCTAAATCTTAAACTACCTTTTTGCACCATCTGGATGGCCACAATGTGTCCTCAGGTCCAAGTGGTCCAGGCCACTCGTAGGCTTCAGGGATCTAGTCATGGCCCCTGACCATGGGAGCTCGTGGCTAACATCCATAGACCCCCATTAGCTTGTACCACTCACTGAGACCCACCCAACTCCTGGGTGAAGATGATTTTGTCATCATCATCATTATTAAAATTACTGGAAGGGCGAGGACTGGTCCCAGACTGCTTTGCTGAAGCTGTGAGCTTCATCCCCGTTGATTGTCTATCCCAGGTAGGAAGGGGCAGGGGGGACCGGAGGCTGGCCTTGCTCTTTCTTGGTGGGCTGGGGGCGTTGAGCTGGGTGGTGCACAGTGAGGGAGAATTGGTTCTTGGTCCCCACAAGGCAGGGTCAGGCAGTCCTGGCAATGCCTAGCCAGTGGTGTTTGAACAGACACGGGAATGATGCAGGGTGGGAAAGGTAGTGCCCCAGGGAGTGGTGTGTGACCACAGAGCAGGTCAGGGCCAGAAGCCTCCTATGACCCGTGCACACGTGGCCATGCAAAATGTCTCCACCCATGCCCACACGCACAGCTCGCACAGCCACAGCCACAGCAGCCCGTGAACGCACACCGTGCCTTCTCCACAACGTGTCTGAGCCCCCAGGCCTGCAGTGTGAGCCCAGAGCCACCAGCCCCTGCCCTGGACATGCTGCTCAGAGACCTTCGGCCTCTTTCAGGCTCCAGGCCTGGGTTCGAGTCTCCCTGGTGCTCTCGCTCCCGGCCCTCCTGGTGTGGTCTTGTCCCCCGGGCAGCACCTAGGCCAGAGGACAGTCCTGGCCTCTCACTCCACCGTCCAGCCTGCCTTGGCCACCGGTGTCTCCCTGATGACCAACCAGCAGGGACTGGGGAGGCCTTGACATGCCCTGAATGACAGGGAGTGGAGATGGCAGTTGAGAAGCGGGGGTCAGTCTCTGATGGCCAGTGAGAGCCACTGAGCCTCTCCGGGCCTCAGCCCCTCACCTGCCGCACAGGAGCTGGGTAGCACCAGCTGCTGGTCACTCCACCTGCTTCAGGCCCCGCCCACAGCCTGCCAGGTGGTTCCTGAGCACAGGGTCCTGGTCTGGGCACCCTTCCATGGGTGATCAGGCACAAGTGAGTGTCCTCCCTGGACCTCTGTCTCCTCGTCTTTAGAGCCTGACACCTGATCAGGCAGGGGCCCTGCCAACACTAAGCTTCCCTGAGTCTGAGACCACACAGGGCCTGGGAGAGTTCCACAGTGATGGGCGGGTGGGGTGGGGAGGGGCCCCTGAGCCCCATGATCTCAGCCAGGGCAACCACCTCGGTCTGCCCAGGGCTCCTGCTAAAGCCAGGTGTGCCGGGCACCACGCTTGCTCGAGGAGGTGGGGGATAGAGGAGGGGGCCTTGCTGGAGAGGGGAGGGGGCATAGGTGTGTACACGTTCTGTGGGGGCGGGGGGCTGGCTTGCCTGAGTTCCCTGCACGCATGCGCTCTGGAGCCATTACCTGTTTGCACATCCGTGCACTGCGTCCGCTTGTGCAGGTGTGCCCGGGTAGGCGTGGCTGTGGGGCATAGCTTATGAGGGCGTGGCTGTGGGGCGAGGCTATGTGGGGGCGTGGCTGTGTGGGGTGTGGCTATGGGCGTGGCTATGTAGGGGTGTGGCTGTGTGGGGCGTGGCTCCCCTGGGCTGGCACCCTCTGCTGCAGTCTTCTAAGCACCTTCTGGTGTCTCTCACATAACCCTCAGACAGCTGTACCCGAGGTAGGTCCTGGGGTTTGAGGAAGCCGAGGCTCAGTGGAGGCACAATCCAGGCCTGGCAGTCGGCATCTCCAGGGCACTTGGGTCTCACACCAGGATCTGAAGGCCCTGCCCACTGAGCCTTGCATCCTGGCCCGGGACTGCTTCTCCTGAAAGCAAGGGACGCCCTTTTCTAACTCGTTCCAAGAGTAACCCTGGCCAAGAGCACGTCCCACCACCCTGACCTCACCTGGGCATGTGGCCTACAGGGTCCCTGGAATCACCCTCAGTAGGTTTTAGTTTTCTTTAAGTCTGTTGGGGATAGGTTCCTGGTCCTTGCAACATTAGGCCCTGTCCCACCCCGGGGTCAGGGCTGCAGCACCCCACAGGGCAGCTGCTAACGTTGGCCGAGCCCTACCTTTGAAATGTTTGGACACTGTGTGTCTAGGATGCCTGCTGGAGGTGCGGGCTCTGTGCAGGACTGTCCCCCAGGAGCCTGGGCTCTTCCCCCTCCCCAGGTTGCAGCTGCGCGTAGCTCCTCTGGCTCTGCAGAGTGACTTTCTCCCTCCTATTTTTCATCTTGAAGGATGGCAAACTGGAGCACTTAATTTTCCTCCCGCAGCCCATTACCGGGGACGTGCTCGGCGCCCATGCGTGGCTGCGAAGGGAGGGTCATTTATATCAATTAGCAAAAGCAAACATGCTCATGGCTGCGAGCAAGCGTGGGTGGAGGCTGTCCTCGGAAGAGGGAGGCAGGGGGCAAACGCTCCGTTGCACGTGTCTGGCAGGCAGGGGACTCGGGCCGTGCAGGGCTGTGTTGTGATGGTATTTTGGACAGGGTCCATCACCTCTCCTTCCTACAAGGTGCCCAGGTGGATGTGTCCAGGGAGTGAGAGAGTTCCCAGATGCAGCCGTCCCCACTGTTAGCCAGAGCTCTGCATCCATCACACACGGCCAGGCTGGAGGGCTGAGGCTGCTCCCCGCCTTGCTGGGCTGTGCCCATCCACCACCGTGGCCTCCTGGGCAATCGCAACAGCTTCCTCCCTGGTCTCCGGTGTCTCCTGGGCCTCCTTAATCCATGCGCACTCCTGCAACTAGAGTGAGCTGTGAAATGTAAACCAAATCATGTTGGTTCATATGCCCTCCTGCTGAGACTCTCAATGGCTCCCTATTACTCTTAGAATAAAATCCAGCTCCCCATCCTGGCTCCCATTGCCTCTGTGGCTGACTTCTGCAGCTCATCTCCTCGGCCTCCTCCTGGCTCGCGCCCTGCAGTCACACGGACCACCTGTGCCTCCAGCTCACGCTGCTCATCCCTGCCCCAGGCCCTTCACCTGCTGCTTCCCATCTCTTCCTGGCGCTCTTTGCCATCCTTCATGTCTCAGTTTAAATGAACTCACCCCGGCCAGGCCCAACCCACTCTCCTCAGCTGCTGTTTATCTCTTTTACAAACCTAAGCATTTAGCCAGCACCTATTGTATACCAACCACTGTCCTATGTCCTGAAGTCTACATAGCAAGACAGACGGGGGAAATCTCCCTGCCTTCCTGGCACCACCCCTGGCCTTCTGGGGACTAGATGGGCCGTAGGGGCCACCGCGGCCTCAGCGAACTTCCTGCGCCTGGTGACTCTGTGTTCCAGGAGGCGCACACAGAATGACGTGGGTGAGTCGTGCAGGGGAATGAGGTCACAGCAGTGAGAGGAAGACAAGTGAGGACTCGAGCCGCCGCAGAGGCCTGGCCGGGGCCTTGGACCGACAGCCTTCCCACCTGCACCAGGGGCTGTGTCCTGGTTTGGTTTGTTGTGACGCAGCTGAGGGGATGGGGACAGGAGGCTGCAGGACTGGGAAGGCCCCGCCCTCTGGAGCTGGCTCTGGAAGGAGCCGGAGGGCGATGGATCCAGGTGGGGCAGAAAATGTCAGGTGGCAACAGATGCCCAGACAGACAGGGGACGGAGGGCTGAGGCCACAGTTAGACAGGGGGAGGCTGGGGTGGGCTTCACCCAGGAGACCCCACTGGAGCAAAGACCCCGGGGTGCAGTCCGAGGGAGCCAGGAGACACCACAGAGGGACTTCCAGGCATCAGCAATGGCGGGGCCGCACTCCCGTGGCAGTGTGCACTGCTTTAGGGACGTGGGCAGGCCACTGTGGCGGTCTGGGAGCAGGGCCGAGAGGTGCGGGGCACTCGCTGGGTTCTTTCTGGGGACGAGGGAGCTCTGCGCAGGGGCTGTGAGTGCCGCAGGTGGGGGATGGAGGTGGGCAGGCAGGATCAGGCAGGGTTGGGCCCTCAGCATCCGGCAAAACGCTTCCTCTGTGTGTGTGTGTCTGTGTGTGTGCGCACACACGTGCATGCACTCTGGGGGTGGTCAGCTTGTCTGATCTCAGATTCTTGGGGTTTTGAAAAGCCCTGCTGGACCTGTTCACATGCCCGGACGGTGGGTGTCTGCACCTGTGTCCACTCGGGAATTCACTCACTGCAGCCTGGGAGAGCCTGGAATCCAGGTGGACCTGCTCGGGCGTGCCCCCACACTCCTGGCTGGGTGTCTCTGGGCAGTGACGTTAACTTCTCTGGGCCTCGTTTCCTCACCTGTAACACGGGCACAATGAGTGCTTGCACCTCCCGGGCTCTGCGAGGTCTCAGGAGAGCGGGCCGCGTGGAGGACCTTAGCAGGCACCGAGCAGGCCTTGGGCGCTCTGCGGCCTGCCCTTCCCCCTCCTCCCTGCCTTCCTCCCTCCTCTCTTCTGGCCTCCTGTCCTCACCCACCTGAGTACACTGCATTCCGAGAGAGCAGTGGCGTCCATCTGTCCTTTGCTTAGCGTCTAGCCCCTGCCCAGGGCCTTGCCGCACAGGCAGGTGCTCGTGGACATGCGCCCAGGGATGAGCTCCCTGAGTCCTGAGCAGCTCTGGGGTGGGGCGCGTCACAGACTCCAGGAGCACAGATCAAAGTGGGGCCACAGACGCATCTGCTGGGAACTCGTGTCCCTGGCCCTGGCTCCAAACGCTAAGGCCAACAAAGGAACACCAATGAAATGTTTAGCGTTTGCAGCTCATGTGTAAGATTTAGGTCAGGTTTATGGACCAGGGAGAGGTGGATTTTTATCTGCTGTATGTGGCTTCTTAGGACATTGGGTCCCCTGTGTGACCAATGTTCTCTCTTTAAAAAATATGCCTAGCAGCACATTTTTATCATTTTACTATTTATGAAGATGCACTGAAGCATCTCTCCCTGGGAGCGCTGGGGGTGCTCCGGGGACCTGGGCCAAGTGACAACTGGAGCCTTCTGATTTCACCAGCACTGCCAGGCCCTGGCCAGCCGGCCCGGTGTGATCTCACCGAGGCCTTAGACCCTGTCCAGGCCGACCTTGAACTATCTCCATGTTACCTGTGGAAGGTCTGAGGTTCCCCTCAAGGTCGTCCAGATCTTAAGCTCACCCAGGCCTCGACCCTGGGTGCAGCCAGGACTCCAAAGCCCAGGCCCTCGCCAGCTGCTAACACCGTCTTGGGCCTGATGAATGGTTCCGGAACAGCCTCCCGCACCCTGGACAGGTGGGCTAAGCAGTGGGAATAAAGGTCCTAACGAGCATCTTGGCTCACACGTTAATTTAGTGTGGTTTTTGTGGGTCTGGAGAGTTCTATTTGAATGCATGTGTGTACGTTTCTATTACACCAGGGGCCTTGGAGGATGCTCCGGGTATCATTTCGCTACTTTTAAATATATACGGAGGCTTAGAGCTGTATCTTTGTTTCTGTGATTTGTTTGGTACTAAGTCCTTGGTGAGGAAAGGCCCCAAGGAGAGCCTGGGGCTGTGGGGCACCAGAGCGGCATTCTGATGACCCAGGGGAGTGGCGCCCCGAGGGTGGGGCCCCCAGCTCCAGTCCCCCCACCAGCTCAGCGGCCTGGGGTAGTCAACTGTCACTTCCTGGAGTCTGACAAAGCCCCGGGGTGACTTTGCCCCAGATTGGGCCACACAAAGGCCACAGCCCCCAGAGGAAGGGGTGAAGCCACATGGGTGGCCAGGGTGGGGTGGGGAGTTGCCCTAGGACCCCAGGGGAAGTCGGGCTGGACCTCTGTACCCCTGAGGCAGCGTTGGTCCTGGAAGGCTCCTGTCACAGCTAGGCTCTGTGGCTGCCGCCTGGCAGCCTCCACCCAGCCTCCATGGTCCTCCTGGAGGCTTAGAGGCCGGGTCCCCTCCACCTGTTGATGTCCGTACAGCGCAGCCCAGGGGCTCTGGTGGCAGCAAGCTCGATACTCTCTGCAGTGTCCTGCTTAGCGGGGACCTGGGTCCCTGAGGGCTCAGGGTCACAGGTCAGGACAGAGCTGGGTGCAGCCAGGTGCAGGAAGACATGGTGACTGTCACCAGCAGGTACAGGCCACTCTCTCTACAGGGCTGCACCTGGAGCTGGTGCCCAAGGGGCAGTGGGGAGCGCCCCACCTGCCCCCCATCGGGGTTGCCTGAGCGGCGAGGTGAAGGCCAGGTGAAGGCCAGGTGAAGGGAGGCCGAGGTCCGTCCTCAGCGGGAGGCACTGTCGCAGGCCTGCTGCATCCTGGAACCAGAGGAAACTTGAGAGTGGGGCTGGCACCGCCCCCTCCATTGGCTCCCTCCAGAGCCGCAGGGGCTTTCCCAGGTGGCCAGGGCCAGAAAGGCCCGAGCCCACGTTCCACTCGAGTCCGGCCCTGAGATCCCCGTCTGCTCAGGGGTTCACCCTTCTGTACGAGGACAGATCCGCTGCTTTCTCTTTCAAGGGAACCTAGCAGCCATGAGTCCCCATGGTCCCCAAGAGCACCCCCCCCTTGTTCTGTGGCCTGCAAAGTTGGCAGGTGGCCCACAGGGGACCCCTCGCCTCTGGCTGGTGTCATCCTCCCCTTGGGGACCCCCGGCCCATGAGGGCTGGAGCCTGGGTTCGCCTACTCCTTCCTGCCGGGTGACCTTGGCCTGCCTCTGCCTGGCCTCTGCCTGGCCTCCCCAGCTGCTCCCACCTTCCCCGTGGTGTAGCGAGGAGCCCCCGAGCTGAAGGGGAGAGGGCAGGCCTGGGGGAGAGGCCAGGCTGGTGGTTGTCACTCAGAGTCCCAAGAAGGGGACTGAGCTATTGTAGGTGTCTGGGCAAGGTGTGTCCTCCAGATCACCTGACCACTGACCTCTTGGACATCGCATTGTTATTTTCTTCTCATGCCGACGTCACCATGCGGGTGTCCTCCTTGGCTGGTGGTGTAGAGAGGCTGGCCCTGTCTCGTCTGCCATTGTACCTGCTGGAGCTGGGGTCTAACCCAGGGACGTAGTGAGCACCCACTGACCAGAAGAATCAGTGAATAAGGGGGGGGGGGACACACGCACACACTCATGCCACACCCACCTGTCCACACTGGCGCACCTCTGTGTGCACACTCGCCCTCTTGTCTCCTCTCAGGTGTGGGACAATAGAGAGGAGTGGGGACTGTGGCAAAGTGGGTGTCGTGGGCCCTGTTTGGAGGGGCAGCAGGACTTGGCTCCAGGGATCTTGGCCACGCCCAAACACGACCTCCACGTCCCAGGTCTTCCTGTTCAGGAGAAGCCTGCAAGTGTGATGTTTTAAGGTATGAACTTCATGGTTATGGACTGACCATAGAAAACTGTCCTGGGGGAGCTGGGTCCATGGACCAGGGCTCATGCCTCTGAGGAGGGCAGCCGGGCCAGCAACTGGCAAGGGCCTAGGACATTTGAGTGAGCCTCCCCTCCCGCCTACAATGGGAAGGGGACAGCGGGAGCAGATGGAAATGCAGGAGGGGACAGGGAGATCGTAGAGGGGTCGGTGTGGGAATTCTCATGCGGTGTCCTGACCCGGGGTGTCCTGGGAATTGTGGAGACAGTTCTGGTCATTATAACAGTTGGGCACCTCTGACAAGGTGTGGCGGGGCCGGAGCTGCCTGGGCTCGGCCCCCTGCCAGACTGTACTGGTCACTATCCTGTCCCCTGTCCTGCACTCACATGTGAGGACCCGAGGCCTGACCTGCTGTGGTCAGCTCAGAAGTCTGATGCGGACACTCTTGACCGGATAGTAGCATCTTCTTACTAGAGCCTCTGTTCCCGATTTCTTTGAGGGTAGGGCGTCGCTGACCTTCACAAAGTGCTGTGTGTGGCCAGGCCACATCATCTCGTCAGTGTCATTTCCCAGCAGCGCAGGGGAGGTTGACATCATGGTGACCTCACTGAGGGCCTGCCGAGGCGGGATTCAGACCCTGGGCTGTCGGCAAAGCCTTGAGCGCCTCCTCCTCCAGCCCCTGTGACAGTGGCAGCGACCCTGAGCAGCTGCAGCTAGTGTCCATCCCGGCAGCTGAGCCCTCCTCAGTGGACAGCCATGTTCCTGTGTCCAGGGACTCCTGGTGCCACCCAGCTATGCCCCAGTTATCCACGTCCCTGAGGGGGCAGAGCCTGGAGCGTCCCCTCCTCTCCCCATAGGGATTTCGTGGGGAGGTGGGGACAGCAGCCGTGGGGACAGGTCCTATTTAGAGAGGACCCGGGCCCCTCCTCAGTCCTCCACAGCAGTGTGGGAGAAGGCCACCTGAGCTGTCTCCAGCCCAACCCCATCTTGGCATCAGAGCCAGATGGCCAGGCCTGGGTCAGGTCCAGAAGCCGGGTTTGTATTGCCCCCAGCAGTGGCCTTGGGGGCTGTCCTGAGCCTGCTGTACCCCTGTGATTGTCCCCAAAGCGTAAAGTAGCAGACCCGAGTGTGGCTCAAGGTGAGGAGCCCTAGACGTCCCCTCGTCAGCTCCTCTTGTCCCTATTCTGTCCTGTTCGGCAGGGACGCTGGAAATTTGACCTCAGACACTTTGGGGCTGACCCCTCCCCTCTTCTGAAGCTTACCAGGCACCAGGTGACAGCAGGGACCACCAGGGTCCTCGGGGCCCCTCCCTCCAAGCTAGCAGTTGGTCGGCATCTGTCCTTCAGCCTGGACTGGCTGATCAGTCATGTGGTCGTCATGGAGACGCTCCTTGGTCCTGGGCCAGCTGTCCTCTGCTCCCTCTGTGCACTTGGGGACACGGGGTCACCCCACAGCTCCTGTCTGCACTGGACAGCTGCTCCCTGCCATCCCAGCAGCCCTGGCTGGGTTGTGTGAGAGTGTGGGCAGGGCCAGGCCAGCCCCCGGGGTGCACGGGATGGGGGGGCTGTGGCACCCTGGAGGGCACGTCCCGTGGCTCAGCTTGGCCAACTGTGAGGCAAAAGGGCCCGGAGCCTTGGCTTTTGGAAGAGGGCAGCATTTTTATATGAATCTCCTGGTTTTTAAAACTGGCAAAACCCACTTAAAAGGCCCCATGGGAGCCAGACAGAAAGGCCCGAGGCCAGCGCTGGCCTTGCCGCCCTCTCTGCTTCCACCGGCCTGTGCTGTGCTCAAAGCCACACCCACTGGGGACGCCGGCCACTCCCTGAGACTTAACTCAGTGTCCCTAAGGTTTCTCTGACTTACACAGGCCCCAGAAGGGACAGAGTCTCAGCCAGCTTGACAGGAACGTGGCCAGCCATCTTCCAAAACGTCGAGGAGCAGACGTGACCAACAGGGAAAAGCTCCTGTCCTGGTGTTCCACAGGGGGCCGGGAGAGGAGGGGCCCTGAGCTGAGCTGGTGCCCCCCCAGCCCCGCCCGCGAAGCCCACCCTCTGCGCCACCAGCCCTGAAAGCTTCCTTCTGTTGGCCGTGTCCTTCCTCACGACCTCTGCCCACAGCTGGCCCCTCTGCCCCTGCACAATGGGGCTCCCAGGGCAGATGGTGGCCCCAGCCCAAGGCACGTCCCCGCCTTTCACATGAAAATGGGGGAGACAGCAGACAGATGTCCACCAAGCCGGCCTCCCCGAGCAACCCGGCCCCAAGGCCACGACCCTGCCAGGTGGCACAGCCCTGGACAAGCAGCCTCTGCCGGCCTCTCACCCCCCAGCCTCCGGCCCCACCTGCCTCCTCCCGTCTGTTCCCTCCCAGCATCCCAAGGCCACAGCGGGGACAGCTGGCACTGGGCTGTCTAGCAGCCTCGGACGTTCAGACAGGTAGGTTCTCTGCTTCCAAGGGACCCCGCTGCCCATAGTAGAGAAGCAGGTGGCTGGACCAAGAAGTGGCCCAGGGAGCAGCCCCAGAGCACCTTGTAGGCCCCTCCGGCCCCCGCAGCCTGGCTCTGGGAACAGCAGCGGGTCCCCGTTCCCGGCTCTGCCCGTCCATTTACTCGCTCACTCAACAGGTGCTGCGGAGCCTCAGGGGGACGGTGGCCACAGGACAGCCCCTCAACAGTGGCTAGAGAATTGGGGCAAACCTCGTGGGGAGGCCCTGGCCAGCCTGGCTCGGGAGGGTCACTGCTGGGCGTGGTGGGCCAGGGTCCTGCCAGGCGGAAGCACTGGGATCTGGGTTCCAGCAGGCCTGTGGCTGTGGATCTGCCGCGTCCCCAGTGAGGGCAGAGCGGGCCCCGGCGCCCAGCAGACAGGGCACCGCTGGCTGAGCCAGTGTGGGCCTGAGGCCAGAGCCAGGCCAGGCCCTCTGCCCACCGCCCGGCCTGAACCAGGCTTCTCCATCCCCAGGGAGGGCTTCCAGCCTGTCCTCTGACGGAGCCCCCACCAGCACAGGGCCCAGAGAGGGGACGTGGCCTGTGCCCCCAGGAGCCCTCACCCCAAGGGAGAGCAGCAGGGTGGGAGGGTCCCTCCAGCCAGGGTCTCCTCTGCCAGAACCCAGCGGCTCCTTCTCTGTGGCCAGCACAGGGCCAGGGCGAGGACTGGTCCTGGTCCCTTGGGGAAGCCCTGACCTGCTCCTGGCCCCTGAGGAGGAGGAGGAAGCCGATTCTCCTGCCGAGGTCCCGACTCTGCAGGGGGAGAGCAAAGAGCAGGAGCCAGGCTGCGGCCCTCAGGAGCCTCCGTCTCCTGTCTGCCAGCTGGGCCTGGAAGGGAACAGAGTCACCTGGGAGATCCGCTCCAGCCAAGTGTCCTGACGTCCAGCGGTGACCGGATGTCCCGGCCACTCCTCCAACTCGGCCTCTCCCAGCCCCGTCACTCTGGGGAATCCCGTCCTTGTTGATGTCTTTCTTCTCCACTTTCCCACAGAGTGCAGGCTGGGAGCAGGGGCCCTGCCCGCGGAGTCCCCTGCTGGACCCAGGGCCTCCATGGCCAGGCCTGGCCCCCAGCAGGTGAGCAGGGCTTTGTTAGAATGACTGAGCTGGAGGTGTGTGGGGACAGACGGGGGCCGTCCATGACCTTGGCCTGGTTCCTGGGACACCTGGGGACACTCGAGCTGCAGCAGCTGCTCCTCGTGTCAGGTCACCTGTGCCTCCGCCAGGTCCCCGTGTCACTCACCGCTCAGGCCACCCTGACCACCTTGCCCACAACCGCAAGCCCCCACCCCCTTCCCTGCCCTCCTCTCTGCCTGTTGCTGTGTTTCTCCTCCGTGTCCAGCATCTTCATGCCCAGTGCCCTCTTTTGCTGATGGCTTCACTCCTGCAGGAAGGCAGGGCAGGGTCGGGTGGTGGGGTGGTTAGCTCCTGCAGCAGTAGGCGCTTGGTAAATGTGGACCCAATGAGGAGCCAGTCCTGAGGCTTGAGGAAGGCGCACTCCCTGCAGCAGGACGGTAGACAGGGCCTCCTGGGACCGGAGCTGGAGATGGCATTAGGGGAGCAGAATCGTGATGGAAGGAAATTCCAGGTAGGACCAAGTCCTCACAACCAACTGGTGTTCCTGGGGCCTGGAGCAGGCGTTCCCAGGCCACTCTTGTGTTCTGTGTGTTTGATTTTCGTGTTTTCCAAGGTGCTTAGATCTCATGCAGGCTGGCGACAGTTCTTCAGCAATTAATTCAATGTTTTATTCATCTTTGAACGCTTTAAAGCTGCAAATCAAACTGGGTGCTGTGCTAACCACATTCTGCGCTCCTGTGTCGCAGATAACCACGCTCTTTTGCATACCAAGCAGACCTTTCTGAGTCTCAGGAGAAACGGTCTCTCCTGGTGTTCATTGCTCTAATTACATCTGCAGCAACCAAATACGCTTCCACTCTGATTTGCATTATGCAAAATGAATCACTGTGCACGATTCACGGCCTCGGGATGCCAGGAGAGGCACTGTTTGACCTGCCGATCCATATACCTTAGACTTATTGGGGGAAAATAAAGAAGTCTTGATCCTGTAAACTCTCAGGGATGACCATCCAGGCGCACGTGCACCCCGTGAATTCACTACTTAGGAGAAGAACAGGGCAAGGCAGCTGACCAGGCCCTGCTGCCAAATGGATGTCCTTGGTGCAATGATCAGAAGAAGGAGGATGGTGGGCTTCTGCCTGGGGCAGCCTCCTGTGCTGTCCAGGGTGGCGCCAGCCAATCCCCACACCCCTGACCTGGGACAAGGGCTCTGGAAGGCCATCAGGAGTCAGGATGCCCAGGGTGTGGGGGAAGGCTGGCACCGTCCTCTGTTGGCTTGGAGACTCCGAGCAAGTGATTGACAGCAAAAGAAAACTCTTCTTTTGGGGACCTTTTGCTTCTACAGTTAAAAAGGAGAAGAAGCCACAAGACTATGGCTTCAGGGTCTCGTGAGTCCCACAAGGAATCCACATGGGACTCCTTCTCTGCTCCGGGAGGCAATGGAGACAGGCCAGGTCAGGCCCTGCTCCCAGGGAGTTCAGAGGGCCCAGGCCAGGAAGCAGCCTGAGCCTGGATGAGTTCAAGTGTGGTCAGGAAGGTGCTCGCTGACCGTCTCATACCATCCACTTCTACCTGGATTTGCTGTTACCAAACCACCCACCTGTGATGGCAGGACCACCTTCCTGAGCCCAAGTCCCTCCCATTTGGTGAATAGAAGCTATAATTTGCAAACATCAGAGCTGTGTATCACCTACAACCCTGCAGGCTCAGGGGGTGGCTGGTGGGCCCTTGGCCACGGTCCTGGGCAATGCTCCCCTGGCACCCAGGACTCTGTGATCCACGGGTCTCTTCAGGATGCTGAGACCCATGCACAGCCCAACCCATCGTCTCCTGTTGTCTTTATTGGAATGGTCCCCTGGGGTCACATGATTACAACGTGGACAACCCTCGTTGACACTGCCATCCTACCTGGAGAGACAGGGCATGTGCCCAGGGGAACCAACCAGAGGACTCTTCAGATCTCAGAGGTGGTATCACCCAGAAAGGGTCCCATTCTGCCATCCCCTGTCAAAGCCAATGACTTGGGAGACGGAGTGACAGCGGAAGAGTTTTCTTTAGTGGCCAATCAGTGGAGCAGGTGTTCTCGTGGCCAATCGACTTGTGAACTCTGAGAGCTGAGAGGTTACAGGACAGGTACGAGGGAGGGGCGGGACAAGGGGAGGAGAGGGACAGGTAGAGACCCTTGGGCACTCGGTGCCACCTCTTTTTGCCCTTTTTATGGTCTGGTGTTTCTGCCACGGCCGCGGGCAGGTGTCTTTCGACCTGAGGGGGATGGAGACTCGGCCTGTCCAGGTGGAGGAACCCTGACCTCACGGTTCTGCACAGAACATGCCTCAAGCCATCAGCATGTCCACACACAGACTGACCAAGGCCGAGGCTGCCAGGAGAAGGCACAACAGGGAGGCCAAGACTTCCCCCGTTGCAGCATCCAGGGGACACCTGCAGGCACAAGTCAGTGTTTTCAGAAGTGGCCTTCAGGTCCCTGAAGAGCAAGCGAGGCAAAGTGACCCTCGTGACGCACACGCAGAGGTGTCAACTGCAGCAAAGCTGGTGGGGACCAGTAACGTACTTCCCAGCTGGATGGCCTCCAAAAAGGTGAGATTTAAGTCAAGTAAGAGTAGGTGCAGGTGGAGGGTTCATCTGGACTCCCTCAGGGGCAGGGGAGGACGAGAGGAGACGGGCAGGGGGTCGGGCTGAGGAGAATCAGGTGCCACGGGGCTTCTCCTCCCTCGATCACCCACCAGGAGGACCCGCCACGCCCCCAGGCTGTGTCCCCCTCCACGTGCCTCTCTCTCTCTCTCTCTCTCTCACACACACACACCTCCCCAGCCGTGGAGGTGACACTTAGCCAGGACCTGGAAGGTGACAAGGAGCCAGACACAGGCCTGGGAGGGAGAGACTCAGGAGGCTGATGCAGAGAGTGCGAAGGCCCCTGGGGGATGTGCTGGTGCCAGGGGAGCAGGGGACAGGTGGGTGACGAGGGCAGCAGATCACAGGGGCCGTGGAGGCCACAGTGGGGAGCAGTGGGACGTCATTTAAACTGCAGGTGACACAATCAGGTGTACTGCAGAAGGCTCCCCCGGGTGTCCAGGGGACAGCAGCAGCAGAAGGAGGCCCTGGAGGGGCAGCCGTGGTCACCAGGACAAGAGAGGACAGAGGCGAGGACAGGGTGATGGAGCAGGTGCTGACCGTGGCAGGGCCTGGGGCCAGGACCCCAGGACGCAGGACAACAAGGAGCAGCCTCCCAGGTCGGCACAGGGACGGGAGGACAGGACGCTGGGGCCACTGTGCGGCTGGAGGAGGGCCCGCGAGGCGGGAGCTGAGGGTCAGAGAGAGACAAGAGACCAGGGACAAGTCCTCCAGGACACAGACGGAGCCTGAGGGGACGGGACAGTCCTGCCTCCCTGGGCTGTGGCAGCTCGGTGGCCACGGGAGCCACACTGGAAGTGCCACCTAGCAGTGTGGGCG